ATTTTTTATTCGCCCGGGTTTTTTTCCCCAAAATTCGTTAATTTTTTATAACCCCCCCCCCCCCCCCCCTCTCAAAAACATCTTTTTCGTACTTATTAGTATCTTGCTCCGTATTGAGTACTTCACAAAACAGATATACATCTGAGCATGAATATATGTATTTAATAACGTTTACTCGTTTTGTCCGATTTTCTTTAATTTTGTTGTATAAATAGGATTAAATACAAATTAACCTTTAGCGTAGGACTTTAATAATATTATTAAGCATTGCTTAGTATAACTGTCTGAGAAAATACATTACAATGTCATGAATATTTGCAACTAACACAATGGAAAAAAACAAAATTTTCGGACGAGCATCGTGTCGTGGAAAAGGTTCAGTTTTGTACCGGCTGTTAACAACACATGATAGCTTTTGTTCACTTGTAGATGACAGCAAGTCAAACTCGTTGGAATTTAAATAGTACTAGTCCTTTTCTCCACACGACTTCTCTCATGTTCAGATTGTATAAGTTTTGTTTCACGGTGGGCTTCTGCTAATCGTATGTATTTAACTGTCTTTAAATGTTCTTGGTTTCCTTTCTGTTTCAATCTTTTTCCGCTTGTTTATACGAATTATATCTAAATACCTTCCCTCTTTCTAGTGTTCCTTCTGCTCGTTGTCTCGGTGTTCTTGTTTCGCGTGATCGGCGGTAGAATGAACGTGCCAGAGATCTCTTAGTTTCGGCGCAAGCTAGAGAATTGACTTGTGTCTTTGGATTAGCGCATCAGAAATATCGCGTCGAATTTAACTATCTTCTATCCTTCCAAAAATTGACTAGCGGATAGTGTCAAAGTTTCTGCAAAAAGGTCGACCCCCGAAGATGAACAAGGAAAAATAGAAAAATTGAAGAATACCACCGAAATTCGTGTTGGCGTCAGTCAAAAAATTGGCCAAGAAATTTTCAGTCTCCCGGTAGTGTATTTCATGAAATTTGAGGAAATTGGGTTTGAAATATCACAAGAGATAATGAGCACTAAAATACATCCAACCAATCAAATCTCAAAAAAGTGTCGAAAACTGCGTCGCGAAATCACGGATGACAAAACATTCATCATCGACGACGAAAAATATCCTTTTTTCCGTGATGATATGCGTAGAAATGCCGGATTTTGCACAATAAATCAAGGAAACACATCGTCAGGTGTCAAATTCAAGTCGAAACAAAAGTTTATTTGAATGGATTTGTTTTCGAAAGGTATCTCACAATCGTACATTGCAACGACACTGGGTCAGTGGTGAAGTTTACATTGAAAAATGTTTATCAAAATTGGTTCCATTCATCAAGAAACATCACCAGAATGATAATTATATCTTTTGGCTGAACATCGCCAGTAGTTATTATGCTAACAAAACAATTGAATGGTTGAAGAAACAAAAACTACCATCTGTACACAAACCGGCCAATCCTCCAGATATGCCTAAGTCCACACCAATCGAAGATTTCTGGTCGATATTAGCCTACAAAATTTATGAGGATTGTTGGGAGACCATAAATCAAGGATAATTGACCCTTCGCATCAAACAAAAATTGAACAGATTCGATTTAATTGGCGCTTGAACGATGATGAAGGGGATTCGGGGTTTAACACCTCTTTCGCTTTTGTCGGCACATAATCTTGTTCACTACATTTGGTCGTATTTTCGATAGAAAACGCAAAAACATCTGGTCGAAATCGTAGATTCACTTTTGTGCAGGAATTTTTGCACAGCCCGTTATTTCTGTGCCATTATCATGGTTTGGTCTCTCTTTCTATCCTTGATTCTGTAAAAAAAATTGTTGTTTCTGTTTTTATCATAAATTCGACTATCCTGTTCCCGTTTCTTCTTCTTCCAGGTCTTTTTCTTCGTCACAAATATTTTAGACCTGTTCCATTTTTTAAAACTTATCACCATCTCAGCTCTCTTTCCATTTTTTATGTGGTTTAACATCCTCAGTATTCTCTTTATGCTGCCATCATTTCGAGTATATTCGTATTCCTTTTTGTGTTAACGTTTTCTCTTTTCATTCGTCTTTCTTTTGGTCAACAGTTACCGACTGGAATATTATCTCTAAATCGGTTATGTGTTGTTCACCTTTATTGTTTTTCATAAAAGCTCTTTCTAAACTCCTATTTTCTTAATGTTAAAAGTCAACTTTATACCAGTACTTTTAACTTTCTCATTTATTTATTTGTTTTTATATAGTTTGTCTTTTTCTTTTTTTCTTTCTGAGTTAGTATCTTGTTTTTTATCTGCTTCTTTATCTGTTTATTGTTTAGTGGTGATCATCGCATTACAGGTTTCATGATCTCTCACTTTACGTGAATAAACTCATTTACTTATTCATTTATTCACAACAATTTCAAGTCTATTGTTGTTCAAGAATAATAGTCCATTAATTACAAACTCAAACAGCACTACTATCTCGTTAATGCAGGTACATATTTGGTATTGATGCCTACAATTTTAACAAACCGAACATACTTGACAATAGATATAACGTTATATGCATGTTATATTTATTGTTCTTTTACCTTGTGCTCAAAATCTTTGATATAACATACTGAGCGTGAGCTTTTTACGTTTATAATGTTTAGATATAGATGTTTTTAGAAATGCTAACAAAAACAAGTCATGCTAGCCTTTAAAGCAATAAGAACATTGGCATGCCTCATTTAAATAATCAAAGGATACTTTGAGAAATTCTTAGAGTTAGAGAAGAGTTTCGGTAACGTTTGAATAGTATCTGATACCGATGAAAATAATTAGAACTACAGATTCTTCTTTGTGTGATAATCATCCGTCAGTAATAGCTGGACTCTTTCTTTACAATCATAAAGTATTCAGATGCCACTAGATACTATTTCTTAGAGCGGTAATACTGGAATAGGCTGAAAGCTTTTTTAAAATAAAATAAAAATTAGAAAGTATAAGATTAAATTGAACAAAACAGACTGTAGCTGCTAATGCAAACCTTATTTGATATTGAGGTTATAACAGTTTAAGAGTGCCCCTACCCGCTTTTGAGGCTTTCCGTAAAAATCTTGCCAGGCACAAACTAAAAATGACAAAGCCTTCCCCATTCCAGAACTAACTGAAAACTCATTTGAACATCTTTTCCTTTTTGTTGCAACTCTCTAGTTATCAAGATCCTCGAGTTTTCTAGGATCCCCGATTTTTGATATCGTTCCATTACTACCCTCGACTTGATCCGATCGACTTCCAAACTTTATCGTAAATAATGTATAACATTGCCCAGGTGTAGGTTTTTTATCGTCCTACATTTTTTCTTTCTCAGTTATAGCAAAGACACTGTAAAACATCTAAAAATCTAGGTTTTCAACCTTAAAATTCCTATAACTCAAAATGAAAAGATAGATGATCGAATGAAAACAAAAACCTAAACCTTAGCATTGTTGTCGGGTATTTATGATAAAGTTTGGAAGTCGATCGGATCAAGTTATCGAGGGGACGTGACTGGATTGAAGGGACTGTTGAAAAAAACACATTTATATATAGGTCGTCTTCTTCATGACATTTGCGGCGACGCTTATATCTCCACGAAAAATCCTCGAAAAATTTAAAAAAGCGTCTTATTATAAAGAGAATACTTTCTTCAATCAGACTATGTGTAAGAAAAAATTTTGAATGTACAGAAAAAGAGAGAAAAGTTTATGAAACTACAAAATTGAGTTTTTTCAGGCTTTGAAGAAAAATTTTAAAAATTCATAACATTTTCAAGGACGATCGTGGCATACTGGAAGTGGTCTCATTTTATAGCCCAGACTTTTCTCTGCATTAGGATATCTTCAGCTCAAAATCCAAATATTTTTCAAAATAGAGAAGGGGTACACTTAATTTGATAGGCTAGAATTTACCGAATGAACGAGTGAGAGAAAGAAGAAGAAAGAAAGACTATCGTCTTTTCATCTGCTAAAGTGCGTGAGTATCAGATAAGGGATATTTCTATTTATAGTGTTTTAGTGTTTTAAAGAAAATTTTTAATGTTTTTAATAAGTGTACAATATATGTGGGGAAACGTTCCACTTCAACTCGTTTTATATTGATATCCCATTTTTAAAATTTTGATATTTAACTGTTACATCTTCTGTTGTCAGCTCGCGTATTTGCATGTTTTATTCATAGAGCGCATGCAACTTCTAGAGTCAACAGTTTGTCACATAAATCGTCAAATAGGTTGTTTTTCTTGGTGTCTCTTCTAGCAGATATTTGAAAACTTCACAATATACTTACTAGTCACACATGTGTCTTCTTTTTCGTTTTCAACTTATATAGTATACACGTACTTTCGATATTTATATCTCACCTTTGGCGCTTTATGTATTCGTAAAAAGGAGTAAAAAAATAAAAAAGGAGTCCTCGCCTTGTGGCTACTGTTATCCGTGTAGGATGCTGCCGAACGGCAGTTTCAATAGTCTGATATCTTCCCTACACCTGATAAGCTTCTGGCACGGTCGTCCGTTACTAGTCATCAATCGTAACTCTAAACCGAAGACTATCCTGATGCAGAGTTCTTTCGCCCAGTTACTTGAGCTCCCAATACACACTCACTGTCCACGTACTAAATTTCCGTGAACTAGCCAGAGGAGCTGTGTGGGTATGTAACAGTTACGGTTATTTGTAACTGTAAAAACTGCAGAACTGTTACACTGGTATAGTTAAAAACTATCACAGTTAAAACTGATACATTTGATAATCGAAACTGATCATAGCTGTCAGAAAAAGTTTATACGTCGATGCAAAGTTTCTGATCTTTTCGAATTCGTAAATAAGAAAAGTTCCGTTTAAATTATTATGTCTTTGAATTTTCATTTTGCTTCAAATATATCAGTACTCTTGTTGAACAAAATCTTATTTTATATTCTTTCAAGAGTTTTTAACTGTATCGGTTTTACAGTTTAGCAGTTACATACAGTTAACTGCTTTTTAACTGTAACTGGTGATCCTAGAGCTGTACCGTACGCCAAAATGTAATGAGTTCGGCGGGTAATCCAAGACATTAAGCCACGTTCACACGACACATTTTAACTTATTTTAATCCTAATCTTTCCAGTCTTGTCTCGTTTGAACGCACTCACTTTGGTAATTTGCGAACTTGGTTAAGTTAACCAACTTTACGGAACTCGGTTAAGGACCCCTTACATAAGTAACTTGTCCAAAATTATTACATGACTTGCCGGCGTCGAGGTTCGAACGCAGCACGTTTGAAGTACGTGATGAACAACATAACTACTAACGAGGAAACATTCCCAGGTGTCCCGCTTCGATTTCATTCGTTCATACATCATTCGATAGGGGGTCTCGCGTAGGGAAAAAGCCTAAAAGGATATCGATCGATGACTCTTTAACCCTCCGGTTTTCTGGAAAACCAGTTTTTCAGAAACCCTAACAGAATAACCAAAACCTTTGTTAATGAGGCATGATTGTAGCCCGCGAAATTCTCATCAAAATGAGACATCTCCCAGCTCTACATGATCTTTCTTTGCAAAGTTATAGAATTTGCAAGAAAAGCCCTAAATTAATTTCTTTCTGATTTCTGCAGCTTTGAGCTGACAATGAACATTTAGAGCTTTTCTTGCAAATTCTATAACTTTGCAAAGAAAGGTCATGTAGAGCTGAGAGATGTCTCATTTTGATGAAAATTTCGCGGGCTACAATCATGCCTCATTAACAAAGGCTTTGGTTATTCTGTTAGGGTTTCTGAAAAACTGGTTTTCCAGAAAACCGGAGGGTTAAAGAGTCATGGACCGATATTCCTATAGGCTTTTTACCTACGCGAGACCCCCTATCGAATGATGTATGAACGAATAAAATCGGAGCGGGGCACCTGGGAATGTTTCCTCGTAAGCCATGCCTTCAATAAAAGTAAAATAAAGATATAGATAAAAATTTTAGTTCAATGTTATGCTAAACTTAATAAACTTAATTTTTTTCTTTTGACTTCATTTTTAGATACTGTATAAATGGCTACGAAGCAAATTTCGCGTTTGTTAGACAAAGTAGCTATTGTCACTGCTTCAACAGACGGGTATGAATATTTACAAACATGTTAATTACATAAAATACACATTTTGCTTTGAATATATTTGTAGAATTGGTTATGCTATAGCAAAACGATTGGCAAGCGAAGGAGCTAAAGTAGTCGTTAGTAGCAGAAAAAAAGAGAACGTTACAAAAGCTATTAAACAACTGGAAAAGGATAAATTACAAGTTTTTGGAACTAGTTGTCATGTTGGTAACAGTGATGATAGAACACGTTTGTTTAAAGAAACAATTGACAAATATGGACGATTAGATATTTTAGTCGCAAACGCTGGCATATCGCCATATGTAGGATCTCTTTTAGAGGTATTTAAATATTCTTTGATGTTATACGAGACATATCCAGCGATCCTGATCGGAGGAGACAGCCCCTTCCGTCAATTTCTGAATTTTTCCTTGAAAAAGTTTCCTTGATTTTTCGCTGCGGAAAATGTAGCAGCAGTATAAAAACCTACTTTTTATGCCAATTTTTCGGTGGTAATCTTCCGCATAAACGTGCAAATACGAGTGTGGTCTCTTTTATATTACTTGGAAATCTGTTTTACTTCCTTAAGTATTTCACCTTTGACTGGTTTATTTTATCGAGGAGCAAGTTGAGGAGCAAAAATAAGAGTTTACATTTGAAGACTTGAGTGGCTGTAACACCCTTAATTCAATTTAACATGTTAAGACTGCAATTAAAGTAGAATGAAAATGACAGTTGAAAATCGCAGAAGTTTTTTATGCAGCCGTTACCAAATAAAACTGTCATGCATAGGAAATTACATTAAGCGAAGACAGAAATATATATATGTCCATCGAGTGTTTTTCTTTCTTTCGTTCAATAAAATAGTTTTTATTTGTACTTTACTCTCTTAATAAACAGAGCGAAAAGTGAAACAATCTCAGATAAAATTATTCTATTTTTTCTCCATCACGTTCCGTAAGATATTTTTATTTGCTTTGCACCACAATTATAGTCCCTCCTGGCCAAAAAACAATCGAAATCCTTCGAAATATTTATTATATAGTGTACAATATGATCGGGCGGTTTACCAGTAAACTTATAGCTAGCCTCTTTTTAAAAAAATACTCAATATTCATTTATTACTTTTTTCTGTCTTAGACATCCGAATCCGTATGGGATAAAGTATTTGAAATTAATGTTAAGTCAACATTTTTCCTGATTAAAGAAGCCGTACCCTATCTTGAAAAACAAAAAGATAGTTCGATTATTATTGTTTCATCTATTGCCGGTTACATGCCATTCGATGTTCTTGGAGCTTACTCCATAAGTAAAACAACGTTACTTGGTATGACAAAAGCGTTGTCGACATCATGTGCCACGAAAGGAATTAGGTGTGTAAATGGCTGACTATTCTTTGAACATGTTCTATCTGTTTTCTTTTTAGAGTGAATTGTATTGCACCAGGCATTATAAAAACAAAATTTAGTCGCACATTGTGGGATGACGGCAGTAATAACACGTCTGATACAACAGAGACTGAACAATGTGCACTGAGACGCGTTGGAACAGCCGATGAATGTGCAGGAACAGTTGCTTTTCTAGCGAGTAACGATGCATCTTACATTACAGGTGAAACAATTACAATTACCGGAGGAATGCAAAGTAGACTTTAGTATAGGATTATTTTTTATATTTGCAATAAAGAGATAATTTTTTTGTTATTCCATTTTTAATATATAAATTATTTTGGATTTTTTTAAACACTTTTGATCTTGAACAGACACTTATCTATTTAGTTTTAAGATTCAAAAATTCGCTCACCGTTGATGTTAAAATGTGCCTATGGTTAAATCTTAAATAAAGAGTTGTTGAAACTAGTGAACATTTTTTTGTTCATTGTTCTATGTATAAGACAATCAGATATTGAAAATAATGCGCACGGTATCAACTATTATACTACTAATACTATACTTTTATAATTCTATTACACTTCATAATACATGTTTTCTTTTGTTTGTAAGTCATGCATCATTTCGAGTTTGACTGATTGTGTTTTCAATGTGATGGTTGTTTTATGCGCAACAGCGTGAGAAGATGCACTTCTAAACTAGATATTTGTTACTAGTTGTTAATCTAAAACCAGTTTTATCAGCTGATTTTTCTTCCAACAGGTAAAATAAACTTTTCACGTATAAAACATTTGTATAACTTCTATCTCGGCATTTTTGTATTCTAGATATCACATAGCAACAGGGGCTGAACATATCTATGTAAAATATGGGATCTATATCAAATAAGAAATGTTTATAGTGTAGCTGCGCATCAGAATTTAGTTTTATCTGTTAAATTTCAAAATATGTTATTGTATTATCAGGTAGATTGAGAAGTTTACATGTGTCATTTCTTGCCTTTTGAAAATAGAAACAGGAGGTTATTATCTTGTTGATATTTCATATGATAATACCATCAAACTTTGGATGAATTCTATTTGTTCAGTACGAAAATGTTTAATAGGCCATGAAAAAAAAATTATGTCATCCGATCTATCAACTGATGGAAAATGGATTACCACATATTCCTATGACCGAACATTAAAAATATGATATTCTGAATTATCTGCTTAAGTGTTTGTTTGACTCTGCAAATGTTTTTTTCTGCTGTTTTGTAATTTTTTGTTAATTATTGTTATATTTTCCATGTTTAATTAAATCACAAGAGAACAAAAAAAAATGAAGTTTGTTAACTTTTTATTGAAAATAACATAAGAGTGCGATGTTGTTTGGAAAAAGATGAACTTTACCACTTAGTGATACATATTATTGAGATTCGATTGATTTTATTTTTTCATTGTGTTAATAGCCCGTTTCTTTACTTATAGATGACAATGACTTCTGATTTATCAGTTGATACTTGCCAGTTTATGAACAATATCTCATATAATGTATTACAATGTGTTTAGTGGTTTGGTTGTGATCCAGTTGCTGCAATGATTCACTATGTTTAAGGCATACTATGGAGTTTTGACAAACATATGAAATAATGGATAAGAGCGAATTAATTTAACTGGAGAAATTAGATGTTCATTGTGAGAATGATGAACATCAACGATACAATAGCATGTAAGTATATCGGACTCATCAGAATCTATTTCTAGTAAACATAAATCGTTCCCACTGTAGATATTCGATAGAGATAATGTGCGTTTTTGGATGCATTCGAGGTAATAGCTTGTCAATTCCAATTGTAACTAGAGAAAAAACGTCCGTGGAAGAAGAAAGTCATATGAGCGTTTTGCTTCAACGTACATGATTACATCTTGACTATTCAATACTTTTTTTAGGATGAGTTGATTTTCTTTACTGATGAAAGTTTAATAAGAATTTGTTGTGGTTCATCTGTTGGTGAATATTAAACGGCAAGATCATGTGTATCAATGCCGTTGCTTAAGTCACAATGTGTATTACGGTTGAATAATTATAGAATACCATCATTACTTAATGAAATTGGACTACAGCAAGAAGAAATTAATAAATCTGCTTGGTATCTGTATTGTTTGAGTACAATATACAGCATTTTGTTTGATCATACGGGTTTCAAATTAACCGATGATAACGCTAGTGGATTAAGATTACATAGCATGTGTCTTCGTCGAAATACCGTACGTTGGATTGCTTTCATTGAAAAAATAAAAGACAAGAATATATTTTCGTTATGTCTACGAATTGTAGTTACATGTGCGATTGATAATCACTGAATTTCTTTTGCTCTGTATTTAGTGCAGCTGAAAATTCAGCTTCGTATCTTTGTGTGTTTTCTAGAAATCATCCAAATAAGTCTAGTGATCGTCATCTCTACTGAATAATTGATTTAAACTTTATTTGAACCAGAACAAAGTCAAGAGATATAAAGTTCTCGTTATATAATTCGAATCCTTTAAACTATCAAAACACGAAAATCAATTTTACTAAATAATTTCACATTCTACTTCTAGAATCCATTATGCCGTATAAACTATCTAAACTTGGTAGTTGTCAAGTTTGTTACGATTATGATGGTGGTCAACAAGAAAATCAATGCGGTTGTTGTGGTCTGTGGTTATGTTTAAAACATAGTGTTGAACATCAACAGTTTTGTACAGAATCATCTCCTCTAATATCAAATGCAAAATTTAAGCTTAAACTTTTGAATGAACAATTACCTGTAAATGAATATCCATTAAGCACAAAATTTGGCGTAGGAATGTGTGCGTCCGATCAACATATATTAGTTTATGAACATCCATCTGTACTAGTTTTGTTCAATAAACATACACAAATAAGTCGAATAGAAATGGATGGTAAATAAACCGGATGTAGACTTGTAACGTGACTATGACTAGTATGTCTTCTTTTTCTATCTAGATTTGGATTGTGTTGAAGATATTAGTTGGTGTGTATCGATGAATGTATTTCTAGTATTATGCGCAAAATCATTGTCTATATTTAATCCAGTTACATTCGAATTTAACGTAATTAAACATGTTAAACCATTCAATGATGGTGATTTTTATTCGATAACTAATTATCAGAATGAGCTTTACATCAGTTATGTAAAAAATATATTTGTTGAACACCGGTCATTACCATCATTTACATTATTATCACGAGTTGAAAATAAACAGGTTTGTTGATTATTAGACATTTCGTCAAATGAATATGTTAGAGACTCAGCGTTTTGATCTCTTGTAGAAAAAAAACTGTGCTATTGTTATGAATTAATGAGAGTATTTCGAGACCTTTCTGACCACTTATCGTTCGATACATTTAGAGATTAATAAAAACAATACATTTTTACTTTCAGTTATTAGTTGATTTATATTTCGAGCACACTGCAGAAGATCAACGAGGTCGTGCTGGTATTCCACAAAATTATAAGTATCCACCTGTAAATCATAATAAAAGTCTCCGTGTTGATGAATATCCTCTGTTAGATTGCGATGATTCTGACAATGATTGTTACTTACAATATTATAATAGTATTAGATCTACTAACACTGATAAAGAAAGTGATATTGTTCAGATTGGATGTATTCGAAATAATGGCCGATCAATTGCAGCAACGATTAAGCACAATAGTATGTGGACAGTTTCATTGTTTGACGGAAAATTGCATCAAACATATTGGGGAGCATCGCTTGGCGGACATGAAACAGATTCCGGATCATGTATGTTAACATCGCTCTTTAACACAAATGACTGGTTAGTTTTAAATAGTTGTATTACACCATCACTTTTATCATTATTGGATGAAACAGGACAGTTAAAGCAACGAATTACGGTTAACGCGTGGAATCTGTGCTGTTTGGGTACAAAATATTTGGTTTTACGAGATGATGATTGTTTAAGATTATATCGAATAGAAATTAATAATGATACGAACAGTGATAGTGACTGATTCGGTGAGATTTGAGTTATACGTATGTTCTCATTTCTGTTTTGTGTAATGAACGTCATATTGTGTGGCGTTTTTGATGATAATAAAACCTAACGACAAAAATGTTACTTAATCACTACTTTTATATATATTTTCTGTGTTACTATAGACCTTATTAAGTAATGTTTTCATTGGAATGTTTCATCAAAACGACATTTATTTTTACTACTTTGGAAAACTTAAATACAAAAATATTAAAAGCATTTGAAAGTTCTATTTGTACTCGACCTAAGCACAATCGAATTCATATGTTGAGCTTGGTTCTATGAGATGCATTGGAACAATAATAAAGTATCTTTGCTAATATTTATTTTAGCTTAGTACAAGCGGATCTTTATGATCAATGTTGTACACTTAATAAATATAGCATATATAATATAAAAGTAATCTCTGCGGAGAATGGCGCTAATAAACAGAGGAGCGGAGAGTGGAAAGAAGAAAAGAAAGAAAAAAAAGAAAATAAACAAAGAAGAGAACAAGAATATAAAAAAAATAATAAACTTTTACTTAGTTAAATGATTAAATGAGTACAAGTGATTAAGGTGGAAAGTGGACTATCTGTCTGTGTCAAGCAATCGAAGTGTGTTCGAGATAAAGAAAATGTTTTAAAGTGAATCAGATAAATGTAACAGGAAATCCTTTTATATTATATGTGTAATAGCTAACTTCTTTCATAACAGCTGATATCTCGTCAGATATCATTTGATATTGTAATAAAAATGTTTTTAAATTAATTTTTAAATGCGGAACTTTATTACTTAAATTAGAAAGATGATGTATTCTTGTATTTTTATAAGAAGCACAGTTATAATTAGGCTTCGGCATGATATTCCATGAATTTCCCATCTTAAGCAGCGTCCTCTGTTATGTCACGCACCAGAGTCGTGCCATAAGGGAAAAGATCATAGTTAAGGTTATTGCGGAAGAATATATTCACGGTTATGGTGCAAGACTATGGTCAAGGTTATTGCACCAGCTTTGGTCAACGAGATAGAACAGTTCTAGGACGGTGCAAGAACCTAGAATATGACGTGACGTCACAGTATTGCATAATCAGAGCATCAGACTTCGTTTCTTAAGATTGTGCAACGGCTTAGTATATATATGTGCGTTTTTTATGTAACAGTGTATGCTATCTTTGTATAAAGTTTTCTCAAATAAACGTTACGTGAGACAGATTTTGGTTCACCCGGGAACTTAACATCCTCCCACTTAGATTTGGTTCAAACTTTACCAGATCGTAGAGAACACTTCAAAATATATATTAAAAGAGTTTGGAGGTTTATGGACTTGTAGTTTTCTAGAAAAAAAATTTGTTTAATGTTTTTCGGCCTTTTTTGCCCATTTTTTAGAATTTAAATAAAATTTTTACTTTTTAGTTTGAAACCTCGGTTTTGTAAGCAATCGATAGAGCGCATCGAGATGTTTACGTGAAAAGATTGTCATCATTCTCGAACAAGGTTTGGCGGAGAAATTCGGAGTTGACCTTGAGAATGGGTTTTGAGAGCCAAAAGTGTGCGGTTTCGAGATCTTGCCTGCAGTTTCTCTGCAGGGAAGCATTTTGGAGCGAAGATGTGGGTGTAGAAGTTGTTGATCATGTTTTTTTTCTATGAGATTATACTTTGCTGCAGCCAAATTTCTTAAGATCAATCTTTAAAATTGAAAATACTGAAACGCTGCACTGCGGAGAAAAGCGCCCAAATTTTTACGCTATTTTCTTTCCTTTGAGGCCAGAAGATAGTGTTCAGAAAATGTTCAACTCATAGAACATAGGCACTTTCATATACGGAATCGAAATAAAGTGTCAAAATGGAAAAAAATAAAGATTTTCAGGCCTGTTTTTCAGAATTCCGGAGCGCAAAATCGTCTAGACCCCTGGACAAAGTTTCGCTCGAAGGACGCATTTTCAAGGAAAACTGTGGGAACAAGAAATTTCGAAAATTTCTTCGGTTGTTGCACGCAGAATTTGATGCTGAGCATGTTTTGTTCGAATACTTTTGTTCCATAATGCTTTCCTAAAGCGAAATACTGTTCAAAGCTTTCTTAAAAATACTTTTTGCGCTAGAAAAAAGTCAAAGTCAAGTTTCTCCGTCAGGCTTTACCTGGTACCGATGGAAATTGTTTTCTATATAGATCTCGATATGTTCTCTCCAATGACGAAAGATTCAAGGTTCCATCTCGAAAAATGAAATATTTATGGAAATTTTAAAAATTGGGCAAAAAACCAATGCTGAACTTAAAAAACTTTTTTCCCCAAAACTACGAATCCCGAAACCGAGAAAAGTCTTGCAATATATGTTTTAAAGTGTGCTTGCCAAACTGGGTGGGAGGAACCCCCCTTAAGTATTTAAGATCTATTCTAGTTTTTGTTCAAACAGTATCTCTGATTCTCTGTGCTTTAAAATAAAATATTTATAAATGTTTCTTGTGAAATGAGAACAAAGAATAGTTGAAAAAAATCATCATCGAGTTAACAAACCAGAAAGACAGCAAAAAATTGTGGTCAGTTTAGATCATGAGACAGAAAACAATGTGGTATATACCTTTTCGTAGCTCGATGTTTTTGTTTAAATATACTAGACATATAGACATACGATGATAACAATAACAATCATCAAACGTCTTCGGTTCGGTCAACTGAATCGATACATATCTAGCCCTGCTGCATCTTACAAAAACATTATGTAAATTAGTTACCGTTGAATAAAAATAGAACTTTTGACCGCATATATTATTTCAGTTCTTTTACAGTGAAAATATGCGTACCACAAAGCAGGCTGTTTCCCACACTTATTTGAAGGCATTTTCAAGAGCCTATCGTTTCTCATGACCACAAAGAATGTTGACTCAGTTCTCGTTGAGTCAATATTCTTTCTTTATTTATATATAGTGTTTGTTTGTACACACTGGAGTTAGTTTTTCTGTTTTGATGTGTTTACGATTTTATTCTTCGAATAAAATTCAATGACAGGCTAGCAATGTGCGAATTTTGTTTTTCAAAATGTGCAAGAATGAGCACAAGTGGACTGCCTTCACTGACACGCTGTTTATCTGACCACAATATTAACTGTTGAAAATCTTAGGCCCTTCTGTATACAATGAAACTAATTCTCTTAGATTCAGATGTTGTTTAAGTTTTGCGACGCAATATTGATTGTCGATTTTAATGATATATTTATACATAGAGATGTAGTCTCTAACGATGATACACTCGGACAAATATTACATTCACTCTTTAATCTATTTGTTTTTTTCGTCGTGTTCCTGTTGGAATGTTTAAGCTATTTTACATAAATAACGAACGGGAAAATGGCTCACATCTTTTCATTTGCGTTCATTGTTCTATACCACGAACAACAATTTCTTTTAAGTCGTTAGGAAAGCTCAGTGCTCTACTCGGTGCTGTGTTGATAATCCTAATCATGAGGATAAAAAAATTCTTCTTAATTCTAACTACTACTAAAATAAGACTATCTTCTTCTTCTCATCTTTACCTCCTGCTCTGATGATAGTGGTCCGGGCAGATTGTAGTTGTTGTTCACTCGTCACATTTGGTGATAGGGGTTCTTCGACAGCCAATGGAAATTTTTTTGATAAATAAGTTGATAAGATATGTTGTCAATTTAATAATATTTTTACTTATTAAATATCGATATTAGTAAAACTTTAGTTTATTGATACAAATTTTCAACTAAAAAAGGCAATCTACAATTGATTAAAAAGGTTCGTAACTAAAATGAGTGCACAAATTTAACTTTTTTTTCCAGATATACATAATGTCTAGTCTATATCACAATCTACAGGAATATATCTCTAGTTTACCATCTAATGTTATACAAAATATTTATTCCCATCCAGCAAGTTGCTTGGCAATATTTCGGTACGAATATGGATCTGTTTTAGTTTTGTACAAGAGTATTTCCTAATCATAGGATTATAAATGTTTGTTTTCTATTTTTAGTGATTTACCCATTCTTGCTCGAAGTATTATAATGAGATTTATATGCATTCCAAATACGAGCAGTGGCCCACCACAATCTATCGCACAACAAATTGTTGCATCATGGATCAATTCTACACATCAAAAGTGAGTAATATAACTAGTGGATGGTAACAATGAGGTAGAGATTTTTTAATGTTTTTCAGTACGTACAGAAGTATGTGCACTATACTAGTCAAACTTGGCATTTGGCATGAAACATCAACGGCAAACGGAATAGCTTCATGGCAAATAGATTCAACATTTAGAAAAAATTTGAGTGGTGCAATATTCGGTGGGTGAGTAGGGGAAAGGCGTGTTTACTAATCGATATAATACAACCAGTTTACTAGTCTATGTTACTATCTTAAAACTTGAGGAAAGAAAAGAACTCGATTCTCAATGCTGTTAGATAAAAATGTTTTATAACCACTTTATTTACTAGAAACATCAGTTACTAAAAAATATATGTAAAAAGAAGGAAATTACTTTTATTTCTTCGGTGTATATGAACGAGAATACATCAAATAGTATTCATAGAGTGAGATGATTTATTTCATAAAAATCACAGTGTTGAGAATATTTTGATATTGACGGGTATTCAAGCATAGAACTGTCGACTAATTTTTATCTCCTGCCCCAATCATATTATTTTGTTCATTGCATGGTACAATCACCGTTTCATTGTCACCGGGTATGAAAATCGCATCATGTAAGATATGTACACGACGTTTTTCTTCTGGTGACTCTTTGTTTTCTCTACATGTTGTTGTTGTTGTTTTTATTCCTGTTACATTACCATTTTCATCTTCGTCTGAACTTGTATCTGAACATGGATGTATAATAATCGCTGGTAAATTTCCTTGCTTTGATAATATTTCCAACGGTTCATGTGGTTGTAGTTTACTTAGAGCTAGAAATAAATCTAAATTAATCGAGGGGGGTGCTTCACGTTGAACAACCCAACCGATTGGTGGTGTAGTTGGTGGTGATTGCATGAATACTCGTTCATGTTCAGGTGGTTTTAAATAATCAATAGCATCTTGTTGAACTGAAAATATGACTTTCATATTTTTTCCTTGAAACTCTTTTCCATTCATATTTGCTTGTATTTGTAATGCTAATATGACATCAGAAAATGTTAGATAACATCGATTAAATTCTTGAGAATAACTAATAACAACTTCGGGATCATATTCATGAAATATTGATTCAAATTGTAAACGTATATTATCATCAGTAAACAATGTTTCTGGTACATGTGTCACTTCTAAATATCGAAGGCTTCTTTGAACGACCTGTGTTAGTGGTGTATCTTTATTCAACGTTAATACTGATTTTTGATTGATTTCGTCAGCAATATAAATTCTACTCTTATCTGCTTCTTCTTCTGGATCATCGATGTAATTAATGTAATAATCTTTTGTTTCTACTTGGTCTGCTTGATTTATCAAAAGAGAAAGTGAATCATTTGCTAATTGCTGTTGATTATTGATAGTTAATGATGTTAGGGATGTATGGACAAGAATATCTGCTTCGCTCACAGTTCTTGAATCATTGTATTCAGCTACTGATATTATTGAATCGGTCATGTTATAAATTTGATTTAAAACTACACGTTCTAGGTGATTTTTACATACTTTAATTCGATTAATATTATTTGATTCTATAGTAACAACTAATAGCGAAATGATGTGATGTAGCGCTATTTGGAAGGGATTTGAAAATACGATGCATATGGATAACGCTCTACGTCATATTGATAGAGTTATTCTTAATATGACTATGTCAAAACTATGCAAAAATTTAACAATGTTGACAACTTTACTTTTTGATCTGTTATTTATTTTGTCATTATAATAGCTAGTTTTTTGTAGTGAGACAACGTGGTTGGATGAACAAGATATTCAGTCTGGAACTGATCGAAGTACAAAGAAATTGGATGAATTGAATAATTATTCGTCGACACGATGGGATGTAAGTTTGTACTCATCTTTTTTTTTTGTTGTTTTTATTCAAAAATAATTTTTAATTCTTTTATTTTTCAGTGTGTACTTCAATATTTAGTTAATCCGGATAGAGGACAAGTGACTAAAGATACACTGGAAGTGTTTTTGAACGCAAAATTAATGAAACAGTAAGAATCTATTAGCTGCAAAATCTGTTACGGGTGTCATTGTATGACTTGTTGTTTTAGAAGCGAACCTTCCACATCATCTGGACAACAGAATACAATAACTGGAGCCGGTTTTCAATTTTTATTAATGAATCGACGTTCGCAAGTTTGGTTTTTTATCATTCATTTATTAGAAACTCGACAAGTATGTATTCTTCATTCAGATATCTAATATTATTTTTTTATATGAAAACTTAAAATTAATCAATTTTAGCTACGTGGCGAAGATATTAGTGAACATTTGATATTTTTATTTCAATTAAGTTTTGCAACATTTGGTAAAGTAGGTATTTTGAGTATAATTAACTTTAAATGTTTTGTATATTAATTGTTTCATTTAGGATTATTCATGTGAAAATTTTAGTTCAGTAAAAGAAAATTTTTTACAGCATCTTCGAGAACTCGGTCTCATATGGAGAAAAACAGTAAGTTGAACAATTCATTTATTAATAGTTGCTATCAATAGTAGAGCTGAGTATTATTAACTTGTTGAGGATGCCATGTCCAGAGTTGAACAAGCCATATATTCGCCATACTTTATTTAAATTTTCCTTTTTTCCATGTTTGTTTACTTAACAGTTTTATAGTAGGAACGGATGTCTTCGAGGTATTTTTGGTAAGGGGAAAAGTCGATGACACAAACGAATAATACTCTGGCAAAGGATGAATCATTAAAGATCATTTTTCAAATTTTTATAGTTTATTAGTAGATGTTCCCGTAGCAACGTCAACTGGTTGCAAACTCACGAAAAAATGACCAAAAAAAGTCTTTATCAGCTAGTGGATCAAGTCACTAGACCGGCATCAGATACATGTCTAGGTCTAGTAATCACTTCTTCCATGAACTCAATCGACTCTTGTGACGTTTTAAGTCCTTAAAAGTGCATGCGATAAAGAAAAACAAAAATTTTATTCTTCTCTCTCTTCTCGGGTCAATACATCCTTTAAATGGTGATGACCATTTGCAAATGGAGCGATTAAAAAAAAAAACCTTCTTGTATATCGTCGCTTAGAACTTCAAACAGATTTTGACTAATGTCCCGAAGGAGAAAGCTTAGTTACTCAATGAATATTTCGTTTCTATTTGTACTATTGATGCTACTCTAAATGTGAAAACATTACCCGTTTTTCAGTTTCGCACAGCATCTAAACTTAATAATATTCAAATCTGTGAGTCTGACATTTTTAAGGTTTTAACTAAACTTGATGTGAACACGGCGGGACCATCTGAAATTGGGAATAGAATATTACGAGAGCTAGTAAAAGTAACACCTGTGCTAACTAAACTAATAGATCAGTCCTTGTCAATAAAATCTATCCTTATATGTAGGGTCTAACGTTAGGTTATGTTAATGCATTATTCAAATCGGAAGATGTTCATGAGAAAGGGAATTATCGACCCATCGCCCCCCTTCCAGCACTTTCGGAAGTTTGTGAAAGAGTAGTTCATCATAAACTGTATGATTATTTTATGCGAAATAATTTATAGTATATTTAAAATTATAGAAAAGAACAAACTCTCGTATCTTTTGCAATTAGTCTATTTTCCTTAATACTATCAAATGAAGTTCATATATCATTGTATGTCAGGCTATTATGTTGATATGTTATCAGTGTCTCCTTTAGTAATCTTTTGATTTCATTTCTTTCATAAGCCAAAACACATGGTTTGTCAAGTTCTAATGTGTGATTGTTTTCAGTGGCATGAACGAACAGTTTTGAATAGGGATCTACTTTGTTTAGTATGAAAACTCTGAATGCTTTATGGTATGTCAGCTCTAAACTTCGGCTATACGCTCTATTCTTTGACACTGGACTGTAACATTGACAAATTAAGGATTTGACAGTTTCCGGAGCTATGCGCACTTCTTCTCAAGATAAAATTCTACACGATCTTCCTTGACTTCCTCTCACTGATCATTTTTTAAAATGAGACTTACGGTTTTTTACGCATAATCACAGGACGTTTGCCTGCGTACTTAATTGAGTATGTTAAGCTTGCTCCATTGAATATCAGATATAACACTCGATCTAATAACCGTCGGCTCTATATTGTTGATCATTTGAAAGGGAAAGCAATCAGACAAACATTTTTGGCGTGTGCGCCACTTGAATAGAACAATTTATCTATGGCATGGAAATCTCAGCACCTACTTCTATAATAATGTTTAAAACCAAATTTAATAACTCGATTTTGAAAAATCTAACTAAAACTTATTATCTAAATCCTGATGTCCCGTGGCATCCTGAAGCTTTTTTCACGCGAAGTCGAGTAGATTTCCCTTCGTTGTGCGAAATCCTAAAGGAAAGAAATTTGCTAAATAACGATGAGCGGAATTTGTGCGATTGTGGCCAAAATGAAAGTCTTTCTCATTATTTTCTTAGTTGTGATATATGTAAAACCCAAAGAAGGGAATTGTACAAATCGCTACGGCCTTTTGGAGCTTTTAGTCTAGACCTTGCGCTCGTCAGAATTCACAAGAATTTTTTGGATTCGATGAAGTTGATTGCTAGTGCTGTTACAAAATATATCAGAGAAACAAATCGCTTTAAATGATTCATCACTTGCCATATCAATCGACTGTTTTTATTTTTTATACAATCGAATTCCCCAGATTTGCGCCACTGTTTCTCCGACCCTCTCTCTAATTATCCAATTATCACTTACCCTTGCTTTTTCTTTATTTCTCCTCTTCTTTTTGTTGTCTTTTTATGTCAGTTTCTTCACTTGTTGATTATTTTTGTTTTCATTCTTGAGGAATATAGTTCTTCATTCAAACATTTTGTCGTCAAGTCAGAGTGTAACAATGAGCAGTAGCTCGGCTATGCTCTTACTTGTATTATAATTTTGATTAAAGTTCATATAAAAAAATAATAAGGGAATACTAAAATCCTTCAACTAATTTTATTTTTGAGTTTTTTGTTGGCTATAATACCTAAAATAATTCCTAATAGTGATTTGTGTAGCTGAAAGAAAATCCAATAAAATGAGGTGTGTATAAAATTCCATCGCTTTTTTTGAAAAATGGATCTCTACGACTTTGGTTTTTCTAGAGATCCATTTTTCAAAAAAAGTGATGAAATTTTCATACACATCTCATCTTATTGGATTTCCTTTTAGCTACCCAAATTTCTATTAGGAATTGTTTTAGCTATTATAGCCGTTATTATTATTGAAGAATTTTATTATTCACTGTATGTTAGAATATCCAATTTTAAAGGGATTTAAAAACAAATGACGAAACTGCAGTAGTTTTAAATGAAGACTCAGTTTTGTTTATGCCTTGTTGATTCGACAAGAAATCTATAATTTGATAAAAAAATGTGAAACATATTTAACTGAAGTATTTTTTATTAAGAGAAAAGTGACTCGATATTTTCCAACAAAATTAGCAATTGAATTAGCATCCGGGTTAAATCAAGGAACAAATGATCAAACTAATGATGATATACAAGCCGGATTTCTATTTGTCGAAACAAATTATCGTATTTATGCGTATACAAGTAAGATATTAAAATAATAATATTTTGAAAGAAATTTATTTTTGGAGAATGAATATCGTTTAGATAATGATTTATATTTGAAAATAATAGAATTATTTTGTAAAATGCTTTATAGGTAATTATTTTATGTTTTTCCTATTTCAAGAATAAAATATTAACTTTCCTCGTTTTTGCAGATTTCCAAATATGAGTGTTGGGATTGTAACTCGTCAAAGTATTCGTAAAGCATTAAGTAATGAAATCTCAGCTGAATTGGTAAGATTTATTATTATTATTTAGTGTATTTGTATAATTTATAGATTTTATGATTCTATTTTAGATTTTAAATTTTCTAAAATCACATGCCCATCCTCAAATGCGAAGTAGAGTAAGTAAAATGGGATATATATTTGTTTTAATAGTTATCTTTTTTTCTTTTTTTCATTTAGTTAATGGAACAAAAACCGTTGATTCCAACAACAGTCAGTGATCAAATACGTTTATGGTTAGTAAAATGACAATTTATGATGTATATTATGTTTATGTGTGTATGTACATTTAGGGAAATGGAACGTGATCGTATTCAAGATCAAGAAGGAATGTTATATAATCAGTTCTTAACACAAAATGATTTTGAATTAGTTGAAAAATATGCAAAGGTAAGTAACTTATGCATTTTTTTCCTTTAATGAACTTGAGTAGCCTTCGAATCTTAGGATTTGGGTGTTTTGTTGTGGTCAAGTCCTCCTAAACGTTATGTTATTGTTTCCAAAGCCGGTCACGATGAGGTGCGGCGATTTTGGAAACAACAGCGACCAAAAAGTGGAGGTGGTGATGTGAAATGATCCTTTTTTTTTGACTAGGCTGATTTTTGTTGTTATTTTTTTTTTGTTACACAATTAATAATCCGGTTCTATAGATGAGGAAGGTAAAACCAATTTTTCTTTTTGACCATGTAATGAACATATTGCTTAAACTGAACAAATTTATTTGTATAAATATTTGACATTTTCTTTTTATGTGCACCTTTTTTTCTACGAAATAACAAAAAGCGAAATCAATATGTATATTGTGAAAAAAATCTTTGCATAAGGTAAAAACAGTATATAAATTATCTGAAGAGAGTATTTTACATTAGGAACTGTACCCAACTGTTCATATTAAAGTCTTTCTCCAGACTTAATATAACTTGAGAAACTTTCATTCAATTGAGTCTAAGTCAGACCATAAGAAACAAAGTGTACAGTTATTTTTATGAATAACCTTGACATTGACTAAATGATTATTGTGGATTACTAAGAAGTTTAGATGCTCTTTTATAGTGTTAATCCGAATATTATTCTAAATCCTTTTTGCTACTAGAAGCGTAGTTTAATATATACTCCTAACTACGATCCTATTAATTTCCTTTTGTTCTGCTGTACCTGATCAACTCAGTTTTTCAAAATAGAAAGAAAGAAATCATCAAGAAATCTCATTGAACGAGTATAACACAAATAGTACCGCCAAATTATCAGCAGTGGACAGACCGGTATCAGAACAATAAATGTGACTGTTACGTCATTGTCAGCATCAAATCAAGATGTTAACTCGAATACTGACAACCGATGATTTGTATCTGGTAACAAAACATCTTACATGCAATTTTTCCAATGTGATATCGTTCTAATGCTGAATCAAAAGTGAACTTAAAGGTAAATGAACTGTTGCAGACACGTTGAACAAAGTGACCGAGTCGTTTCACTTACATATGGATTCAGTTTGCGTCAGAGAGTTCACAGCGCCATATACTACAAGAACCGTCGTGATCATGATCCACTGACAGTCGTTTTCAAAATTCAGACGAGCACTCTTCGTTTGTCTTTCCTCAACATTTCTCTTAAGACATCGTGTATATAGTTTATGATCAGTGATTCATATTGTTCTCGTTTGTGTCAATCATTTTTCGTTTTATTGTATTAGCAGACTTATCTCTCTACTCCTTGTAGTTTCTTTTTACGTGCTCGAGTGTGTATTCTACTAGAATAAACGAGGTATGTCTTAAGTGTGGATTGTCGAAAGGAAAACTGTCCTTGATCGATGAAACATGACTTTTGAATTGTAGATAGTCACTAGAAATTTCAGAACTCTCACAAGTGCATCCTCTTCCAATAATTTTCTGTTCGCTTTTATTCCATTGTTATGATTATGAAAACAATATGGCAGAATAATGAGACTATCAACTCACTAGTGTCATCTTAGTGTGCATCTTAGTAAATGCATCGAATCTTGCATTATCTCTAATAATACAATACAATCGTCTTCTCGTTTTTATTATTTGATATAAAATTATATGCTCGTTTGGTTTTGGTATGAATGAGAAACACAGAGCGAAAGATAATTGATAGATGTTCTTTGTGAGACTTTATTTCAGGTTGATAACAGGCACCATACGCACACGCGTATGAAACTAAGCACACGGCACATTTCTCACGGTTTCTATTTAAAAAAAATTACGAAAAAAAAACGAAGAGAAATATTGGAACACAAAAGTGACAAAAACTATATTTGATATCGTTCATTTTTTTTCATTGATGACAGAACTTGGCCATGTTCAAAGATATAAAATATTTCTAATCATAGAACGTATTGTGTCAATATCGTGTAATACATAAGTGAGCGATATGTATTAACTATTTTATATGTGAAGAAGTTGTTATCCTTGAATGTATAAGAACTGAACAATTTTGGTTAAAACCGAAACATTTTCCCCTTAAACTAACGGATATACGAATTCATGTAATGCAACATAGCAAATCTTGTATTTTATCTTCGTAAGCGATTAGACTTCTAAAAGCTTTTATTTTGCTTTCTTATTCATTACTTAAATTATGTAGAAGAAACAAAAAAATATATTTCTCTAAATCGATACGATATTTCTCATTGTTATTTACATTATAAAGTAAATATTTTTAATAGAATAAAGTTTGTCTCATATAAAGTTGTTCATATATATATAATAAAAAAAATAAAGACAAATAGAGATATCAGAACTGAATGTAAATAAGTGTGCGCTTACGAACAACACAAATGAAAATCAAATAGAGACAGATTTATAGAGGCGTTAGAAGAGAGATTTCCTTCTGTTTCTATTATGTATAAGAAAAATATAAAGATCAACGTCAGAGTGTACTTGACTCCTCATTATCTTTTCTCTTTTCTGATCTATGTCAAAATTATTTTGATTACGTTTTTTTTTTTATTTTTTTGAGGAAAAAAATTTTGATCTCACGTATATTATAGAAGAACATGTTTTCCGGATTTACTCAAAATGTTTTTATGTGGTTTGGTGACAAAAAGAAGAAAAAAAAATTTTCGTTCATTGTAAACAATATCAATTACTTAAATCTTGATCAATTTAGATTGTACGTGACCTGATCTATGTAAAGCTCATTCATAATTGTTTTGAATAACAGAAGAAAAAAAAAAATGAAAGAGATAAATGTGTTTTGAAGCTTTATTCTATGCATGTATCTACACAATAAAACATTTAAAAAGAGATCTATGAAACAATTATACTAATTATTGTTTAATAAAATAGAATAGTGTCATATATAATGAAATTGTTCTAATATAACATTTAATAAAAATAAAAATAACTGTGTTGATTCGTGAATACTCACCTCCTAAATGAAGATATGTTTTCTAAGGTACGAAACTTACATGAACTTCCGTTACTTCTTCAAAGAGTCATTAAAATAGAAAAAAAGAGAGATTCTTTGCTTTGTATTAGGGAATAATTTAATCTATGAGACAACAAATTAGTATTATAATTTACAAAACGAATTCATTTCAATATAAAAACATTGAAGTGAGAGTCATTAACGACAACAGGAAAAAGATTTTACTATTTGAATTTTTTTAATCTATCATAATTTGTCTGATCGAGAAAAATGTTCGCTTATGTTCGAGACTTATCATGAGACTAAATATTAAGAACAACAACTAGAACATGATAGTTGTTTTTTCAGTCTTGAATTAATACACCTATGACTATCTTCGTTCGCACGAATTCCTTTTTGTTTTTGTTATAGAAATTACTGTTGATCATAAACATCTGCAGAAAATATATTCTCTCTCTTTTACACTCTTTATCATGTTTTCTTCTTTTTTTTTTTTTTTTGGTAAGTAAATATTCCGTTGACTAAACCTGTACATGATCTAACTGTAGTCAAATAGAATGCAAGAATAAAACTGTTGAATCTTTCTCTCATTCTCAAACAAGTGAAGAAGATGTATTCTAATTTATTTTACGTTAAGGTATGTCAAATCTACCTGCATTTTTTCTGTGTTTTTTTTTTTAAAGGTTTTTTTTTTTTTTTTTTTTTTTTTGTTTTTTTTTGTTAAATTTGGGCCCAAAAAGGAAAAATAAACAAAAAAAATTTAAAAAAAGTTACAAAAAAAATTTTTTAATTTTTTTTTTTTTTTGTTGGTT